AGCTTGCGGGACTGGCCTAGGGGAAACTTTTAGAGGGGGTTTTAATTATATTTTAATTAGATTAAATTTAAATATTTCCTTTTTAACTAATTTTTAAATTTGTAATGTTATTTGTGTATTTTTACCCGATTGTTAGCCGCCCTGAGTCCGCAAGGAGAAGGGCGGGATATAAATTTAATAAAATAAATAAATAAATAAAGTTCTGGCTATGATATCTAATGTTAAGAAATGACATCACCTTGATAAAGAGTCAGGAAAGTTTCTCAAGTAGAAAGCTGAAATGTACAGAAATATGCAAATTTTGATGGCATCTTCTCAACTGATAACCAGCAAAGACAATATTCAAGAAAAATAGTAACTGAAGCCCAAAACACCTGAAAGATACTAAGTCTCCTGGTGTAGACTATCCTGGGTTAAATGGAACTTGACCAAATTAAACTGATTCCAGAGATCTTTGTAGTCTTTTGTTCTGAAGGCAAGAATTACATTGGATAGCCATTGGAGTTGGCTGAAAGAGTTTTAATTCCAGTTTTGAGTAAAACTGGCTGATTCTAGTTACTCCCTGCAGATCTCATTAGAAAGTAGTTGGGAGAGAGGCATAAAATGTAGCCTAAATTCAAGTGAATCCCTACATGTTCTGTGCGGTGTTTCCTTCTCAATTACCTCTCCATAGGCAATGGTGTTATTGTATCTTCTCATTTCTGGGTAGACATGGTCCAGGTACCATTGGAAACTTCTGCACTTCAAACTTTTTCTAAGTGCTTTTCGCTCCGAAACATCTCCAATATCAATTCCTGGGTTCTGAAAGAGAGATACACCATTACATCATCACTTTCTCTTGTTGTTGCTTTGCTCTGGGATAACCAGAGGGTCACTTGTTTGTCAAAAAGACATTGTTAGGAATCTTTCTTTTGGATTTTCCTACCCCCATAGCTTATGATGCCACTTTTGAAGTCTTTATCTTCTTTTCACATTAGAAAGCCCTAAGAAACTTAGAAAAAGATTGTCAATATATCTGGAGTAAGGAGGTCCAACAGCCTCTTTAAAAAAGGTGAGTAAACTTTGGCCTAAAAATCACCCCCGGCATAAAATTCCCATCCAACCCAGCCAATACAGCTTGTCATCATCGTTGTCATATTTGTATCAGAAGCAACAAGGCCCTTCCAGGTTGAAAGGATTAATTGGTGACATCACCATTGTCTGGGAGATGCCCAGTTGAGGGGTTCCTTTCATGTCCCTGTTAAGGAGCCCACTAAAATGGTATCTATTTATCTACTTGCGTTTGCACACTTTTGAATTGCTAGGTCGGCAGGAGCTGGACCAAATGATGGGAGCTCATCCCACCACACAGCAGTACTCCAGTCTCAAATGTGGGCTTGCTGATTGTCAACTCAGCATTCTAACCATCACGCTCCTTTCAATACAGTTAAAGATATGGAGTATAATTCAGTGGCAAAGCACCTGCTTTATATGTAGAAGATCACGAGTTCAATCCCCATCAACTCCAACTAAGAGTAGCAAAATGTTTTCCTGAAATCTTTAAGAATGGCAATAGATGAAACATTCTGAAATCAGCAGACTCCATTTTGACATTGAAATGGCACAGCCTGCTCTGATTCTTTTTGGAACTTGAAATAATTCCAAAATGTTCAAAGCAATGTGGTCCTATGCACAGAAATGGGCCCTTTAGTCACAAAATCAGGATGTTTCTTAGGAAGAAGTTATGATTCCCGTCTCTGAAAGTCATCTTTTTCTGGTATACAGACCTAGGACTTATAAAAAGATAACCTTCTCAGCATTAATATTTGCTTGAGAGTCCTGGTTTGATGAAATAATGAGAATGTTGAATTTATAATCTTAACAAGTCTGGTTAGCTTGTTCCTTGATAAGTTTTTGCCATTTCTCCAAACCTTTTGTCATCATCATCATTGTCATCACCATTGTCATCTTCCTTGGTGTTATCATCATCATCATCATCATCATCATCATCACCACCACCACCACCACCACCACCACCACTACCACTATTTTCATACATACATACAGACCCATCATGCTATACTTTTTTCAAAGTAAGCAAAATTATGCAAAGCAGAGAAAAGATCAAGAAGTCGTTAAGACAGACGATAAGAGAGAAGATTATTTCTAACTAAAGCTAATTTATACCAACACCATCACTGCTTCCCTCTATATCTTTTTTCTTTTTGAAACAAATCTTTGTTTCTAAAGTATGTCAAAGACTGCAGATTCCTCCAAGTTGCTGTGATCTTGGCAACCACATGTTGGCTTGAAAGATAACCTCTAGATTAGATATCCTAGCTTGCAGGGAAAATTATAGTGTGCTTAGGGTAAAATGCATCCTTTAATTACAGATGTTTAAAATAGTCTACAACTTTTCTATCTAACAGAGACACTGAAGTGTTGTGTGAAAATCTTCATTGACTGAAGCCATGGTAGGCAGCGGAAGTCAATGTTCATGGAAGCTTTTGCTGTTGATATTTTTTAATTGTTGTTGAGGAAGAAGACTGATGTGAAACCAAACTATTGTGCTCCCATAAATTGAATTTTCATTCTTTCTATTGCCAGTGTTTGGAAATGAATGCCAGTGAATGAATCTGCAGCCCCAAACAGCACCATCTGTTTAAATGTTTATGAAAATCTCATATTTCAAAAGTGCAAAAAAAATCTGAAAAGGGAAAAAAAAACTCTGACATCTTTGCAGGGCTAAAATGTGAACAGCAAAGATTGGTCCAACTTATAGAAAGATGAATGCACTGGAAAGAAACAATTAAACACTTGATGGAATGAAGAGAATTTTTGAAATTGCTTATAAGGAGAAAAGTTGGTTAAGATTTGGGGATGGAATATTTCAGCATTTAGCTGAAAGTTCCAGTTATAATTTTCTATTTCCTGATCACAATATATCTTTAATGGGTTTTTGAGATATTGTGTCATTTTTCAGACAGTAAAGTAAAATATGAATCTCTTTAAAAAACTTAATAGGTTTTCTCAACTTTTATACTGCCCACTTTGAGAAGAAATATCTTTCAGAGTGATGAATGTTTGTGAATATTTGGAATTATAACTTCTGTTGTCTGTGAGGTTTGATTCAGGATCTCTCTCTCTTTTTTTTTTCTCTCTCTCTCTTCTCTCTCCATTTTTAATGTTCAATCTACACTCTATTAGCAACTTAGAAAACACAAAGCACTTATCTTCCAAGATGACAATTCTCAAAGCAAAGAACAAAGATAAAAGCAAAAAACACAATTTTAAAAAAATCAAAAAATCAATAAAGCACACCAGAAGAACCAGAAAAACAAAAGCCGAAATTGGTGAAGAACAAATAAGCCAGAGAAGAAAGAAATACATTTAAAAGCCTGTTTAAAAGTCCAGATCCCATTTCTAAGAAGGCTGAATAAACAATTGGCTTCTGTATTGACAATGTATCTTCACTAGTAAAACTCTTCCCACTCAGCCATCAATCTGATTATTAAATTATTATCTCTTTTTTTAAAAAATGTCACAACAGATGGCAACACTTAGCCTGATTTAGCCAATCTCAAAACAACTGAATAAGGTTAGACCTGGTTAGCACTTACAGGGAGAACATTAGGAAGCCAAGATCTGTAGCCTAGATGGTAAAGTAAAAAAAAAAAATTCTGAAAAATTGAAAAATGACAATATTCTAGCCTATTGTATTTAAGAAAATAATATATACTGAGGTCAGTACTGAAATGACTTTGGCTGGTCTTGGAAAGGGAAGCACTGTTGGACCTGATCAGTATTAAAATGAGAGACCAGTAAGTAATACATTGGGAAATTAAGAAAAAATAATTAAAAAGGCAATTGCAAAGCACTTCGTTATTGTTTCCAAGAAAATAACAGGGACGTGCTCATGAAATTCTAAGGAGTTGGAATTCAGCTTAAATTTTCTTTAGTTACATTCAGAAAAAAAAAGGAACTCATAGGGGTATGGATGGGTTTTATCTTGTAGCCAAGAACTGCACTTTTATGTGTTTGTTTGGTTTTAGTTTTTATTTCTCAAAATGTTGTTATCGGAATGAGGGTTGGAAAAAATAGCAATTTAAAGCCTGTCTGGGGAGCCTTGAGGCGTATTTAAAGCAAGACACTGGTATGAAGCCTTTCAGAGATTTAACATAATCATTTTAGCATTCTTGGGAGGCTGATAGTAAACAATTTCAGCCACCCAAATTCACTGGTATGAACTAGCTTGGGCTCCAGCATCTATATGAATGGGCGGGGGTCACATATGGCCAGTGGGGTCACACTGCTCATCCCTGTCAAAAATGGAACTTTCCAATTAAACTGGGAGCAAACTGGCACTCAAGTGGGTTCTGCCAGGTACAAGAAACCAGGAACCAGAATTGAGATCAAAAAGTACTGCAAGTTAATTCCATGCAACCTGTACGCAAAAATTGGCGCCAGATAAGAATCAATAGATTTCAAGGGGGTGGGACCTAAGTCCCTTATGGGGGTGTAGATTCCAAACAGATGATGTGTTTGACCCTACCCTCGGGCTCCCCCTGGTCATCTCCTACAGGTTCATTAAAATGTTCATATGGAAATTATGTAGTTCCAAATGAAAAAGCAAAATCTGAAATTAAGCTGATCAAAGATCACACTTTCTTAGCTGTATTTGACATGTTGAAAGCAAGCAGATTGGTATCTTGTGATGAAGGGAAGGTCAAAGTCTCCTCCTCTCATAAAAAAGGAAAAAGGCAGATATCTGGAGTAGAAGTAATTCAAGAGAGAGGAAATTAGATTTCTCCGCTCTCTTTGTATGTTAGGATCAGCTGTGTGGTTTATGTAGTGTGTGTGTTTGTATGAATGGGATGTCTACAAAAGGCTGAAAGTTCCTCTGATATAAGCACAATCCCCCACAGATTCCCATCAAGGGCATTAGGAGAAAAGGCAGATGATGGAGACCTAAGTATATTGACTCACCTCCAATGGCAGGTTCCATGCAATGTATACATGGGACTTGTAGTCGTCCATCCACACCTCAGCCACCCGCAGTGCATTCCTCTTGGTGTAAAAGCCAATGTTATTGTTGTACGGCTTTTTCTTGCGCTCAATGTGGGCCACTCGAGAGCAAGGGAGAACCTCCATGCTGCCACCACACAGCCATACCTGGAAAGATTGAGACAAGGGAGAAAAGACAACAACAGAAAGTCAGTAACCTGGAAACACCCCTTATTCACACACATGCTAACCACTATCACTATCCTCCAAGATGGTATCTTTCAGATCCATTTTATTTCCCTAGAATATTTGGAAGATTTGCATTACTCAATGTAAATGAGGTGTATCCAGCAAGCCACGATGTCACAAAAAGGACAAATATGTATGGTGACTTCCTGTCTAAGCTCTTCTTTTGTACTTGCATTGCCTTTTTTTCAACAATTTTCAATAATTTTATTAAGGATTATATTAAACAATGGTATAGGGTTTCCTGCCTGAGCAGGGGGTTGGACTAGAAGACCTCTAAGGTCCCTTCCAACATCATCATCATCATTATTATTATTATTATTATTATTATTATTATTATTATTATTATTATTATTATTATTATTATTATTATTATTATTATTATTATGACCTGGGATAGGCAGATGTGGATGTTTGATGGTATTATAGATATTGTCGCAGGATGGAGGCGGTTTCCAGTAAGGCCACCTTTTGCAATTGACTAATGGCGAATTTGTCAATGCCAATGGTTTATGTTTATGTTTATTTAGATTTGTATACCACCCTATCTCCCTAACGGGACTCAGGGCGGTGAACAGGCGATAATAAAAATCACAATAAATATCTATTCTAAAATCAAATTCAAGTGTTCAAGTGATGCTCCAATTGTTTTGGGATTGCACCCAAGGCGCCTATTACTATTGGTACTACCCTTGCTTGCTTTTGCCACAGTCTTTCTATTTCTATTTGTAGGTCTTTGTATTTTGTTATCTTCTCCAGTTCTTTCTCATCTATTCTGCTGTCTCCAGGCACTGCCACGTCCACTATCCAGACCTATTTTTCTTTCTTATCGACAATTGTTAAGTCCGGGGTGTTATGTTGCAAGTGCTTGTCTGTTTGAATTCTGAAGTCCCAGAGCAGTTTAATTTTATCATTTTCTTTCTCTATTTTATGATCCCACCAATTCTTGCTTACAGGCAAATGATATTTCTTGCACATCTTCCAATGCACCATTGTTGCTACTTTGTCATGCTGCTGCTTGTAATCAGTCTGTGTGATCTTTTTGCACTTGTTGTTGTTGTTGTTATTGTTGTTGTTGTTGTTGTTGTTATTATTATTATTATTATTATTATTATTATTATTATTATTATTATTATTATTATTATTTTGTTATTTAAAACCAATACAACAATGTTGTAGAGAAATACATTAAAATTATTGAAAAAAGAAAAAAGTGCAGAAGGGGAAAAAAACCATTGAATGTGTTAAGGCACTGGACTAGAAACCAGGATGAAGAAGAATGGGGTGCCAAAAGATAGTGTATTGTCTCCAACATTGTATAACATGTATGCAAATGATCAACTAGTCCCTGACAATACACATCTATTCATCTATAGGGACAACACAGCAGTGGCTGCACAACTTTTGATGAGACAGCTGCAGTGATGGGATTCAACCAGTTCGCACCAGTTCAGCAGAACCAGTAGCTAATTTTTTGTTGCCCAGGCTCAGAATGGACTTCCGGAAGTGGCATCCACACAGAGAACCAGTTGTTCACATATTTGAATCCCACCACTGGACAGCTGGGAAACTTACAGTAGCACCTGAGGAATTAGGACAATATTATACCATCAACCATTTGAGTTCCAACCCAAACAAGACCCAAGTATGTGCTTTCCAACTTCAAAATTGAGATGCAAGGGAAGAGTTGGAAGTTATTTGGCAAGGGAACCAATTACAGCACTGTCCAACACGGAAATACCACAGTGTGACACTCAACAAGACACTTGTTTTTAAACAGCATTGTCTCAACACTAAATCTAACGTTAGCTTCAGAAACGGTATCATCCGAAAAATGATAGACTACATATATCAGTGGTGGCGAACCTATGGCACGGGTGCCAGAGGCAGCACTCAGAGCCCTCTCTGTGGCCACGTGCGCTGTCGCCCCAGTCCTAGGACTTCAGCTGGTTTTTATAAAACCTTTTCGCTTTAGGCCTTCGCCGCAGTGTGCAAAAAAAAAAAAGGTTCAATCAGTCAATTTCAACTTCTGCGGGAAAAAAAAAGATCTTGCAAAGTTGGAATTGATCGATCGAACTTTTTAGTCCCACCCAGTCTGCCGTTACCACCGCAGCCACGCCCACCCAATTGGCCATGCCCACCCAATTGGCCACACCCAGCCAATGGGCCACACCCACCCGGCACTCGACGATGTATAAGTGGGTTTGGGGTTGCAGTTTGGGCACTCAGTCTCTAAAAGGTTCGCCATCACTGACATATATGAACTCAGCCATCCATGTTGCGTACATCAGTTTTGGCCCTGTCTCTGTTGGTCTGCAAATAATAATTCTCTATAAAGATTACAGTTTTAGGAGAGGGACTCTTTTGGCCTTTCCTTCAATGCTGCTCCAGTGTGGGGTGCTTCTGCACATGCAAAACAAGTTGTCATTGCCATCAATGAAGCAGTACATTTAGTGACAGGATGCCTCTAACCTACACCAACTGAGAACTTGCAATCTCTCGTGGGCATTGCCCCACTTAAGATCAGGAGAGAAGTAGCAGCAGACACCTAGAGAACTAAGCAAGAAAATGATCCTTGACATCCTCTGAATGGACATACAGTATGCCATGTGCCCCAGATCCAGGAAAAGCTTTATGGCAAGAACAAACATTCTTCAGGGTACGCAAGAGCAAAACAGAATTAAAAGATGGAGGAAGGAGACCGTTGAGCAAGGAATAACATTAAAGGAGGATATGCCTGAAGGATCTGACCTCTCTTATATTACCCTCCCTGAGTAGTCTGAGGGTTGGAGTGCCTAAGTGTAAGACTTATATGCTCAATTGGAGGCTGTTAGTGGATAACAATAGGCTGTGTGAATCCAGAGAGACTGACAGCCCAGCCCATTTCTGATACGTCACTTATTACCAGAAACATGCACTCACTTGACTAATTTTTGGACAAAGCCAAAACCAAGAAGGTGGCTTCATTTTGGCAATCTAAAGTTTGATCTGGATATGGAAGAAGAAGAAGAAGAAGAAGTAGAAACTAGGAGAATGTGAATTCTAATCCTACCTTGACTAAGAAAACCTTCTCTCTCTCTCTCTCTCTCTCTCAGCCTAGCTCACTTCACTAGGTTGTTATTGTGGAGAAAATAGGACAAGGAAGGAATATTAGGTATGTTTGCCACTTTGAATTAGTTATAAAAATAATAAGGGTGAAATTAAAAAAAAAAATCTAAGAAAAAGAAAAAAATAGAAAAAAGAAGTTTCTCCCTCATCCCCAGCAAGTATTATACACATCATAAATTATCACGTCTCTTAAAATACAATCAAACATTTCTGCATTCCATAGCTCAGCCAATTTTCTACAAGCCCATCTCTAAATCTTCAAGTTTTCTTATTTATCAGCAAAAGCCCAGTAAAGGTTATCAAAAATAACACCTTAAGTATTTATATCTCCATTTCCATTAAAATAAATTCCCCCTAACCCGTCTCTTTAAATAATCACAGCCCAATTCATTATCCAGTCCCAATCAAAAGAAACCATTAAATATCACCAGAAATAGCAACCCATTATTTATCTGAAAAAAAAACATGTATTACAAATTATATCCAATACCCCCAAGTAAACATTACTATAAATAATGATCATTATCCAATCTCAGTAAAAAAGACATCACCAGAAATAACAGCCCATTATTTTAGCCATGATGAAATAAATCAGTGTAGTATTTGTCCTCTTTTTCCCAGTGATCTTTAAGTCCCACAAAAGAAGTTCTAACATCTGTTTCTCATAGTTTCTTTATCTCTTCTTTCAAAATTCTTATCATCTTTGTCAAAGTCCTTCTGTAGTCCCAATGTATTAACTCCAGCAAATCCCTTCTGTGCTTTTAAATAACCAGCAAATTACATTTGTAGATCCATTATTCCCATCTCTTTCTTGTGGGTTATAATTCTTAAATCCTCCTTAAAATCACTTCAGTTTTATTCAACAAGGCTTCTTCCTTTCCAATAGCACATTTTAGTTTCATTATAGAGTTAAATAATTTTAAAACCTCTTATACCCAAATAGCAAACAATTATTTTAGTGACACCATCTGGTGCCCTCAAGTATTGAACCTCCAAAGTCATCTTTTTAGCTTAAATGTGAACAAAACAAATTTTCCCACAAGAAAGCATCCTTTTAATTAACATCAAAGGTCTTCTTTAATTCAAATCCAACTAACCCTTAGTCTGTTTAAAACTTTCTAAAATCAACACTATTGCCTCTTCTTGCTGAACATTTTTTTTTAAAAAATCCCTATTAACAGATTTAGTTACTTTCTTTCTAAATGGATTGAAGAACTCAACCAGCTAATGCCAAACTTGTGATTATGAATGTTTCTCAAACTTTAACAGATAAGTATAGTATTATAAATAAAACCCAAAGGGATTAAAAAGATGAGCTATGGTCAGATCCTGAGTCCATAAAAAAGCTACCGGTATGTTAACAACTCTGAGCACAATGAAATCTCCCAACTCCCAACTGATTGCAAGTGAACTCAAAAACATCAGTTTCTTCTGTCTGCTCACAAAAGAAAGAAAGAAAGAAAGAGAAAGAAAGAAAGAAAGAAAGAAAGAAAGAAAGAAAGAAAGAAAGAAAGAAAGAAAGAAAGAAAGAAAGAAAGAAAGAAACCAGTTGTCTTGTGTACATTTGGGAGATCTCAGGAGCTCTCCTTGGTCCTGAGAGAATTTTTAGCAGCCTGGATCCAGCATCCAGCTTCCTTTTGTCTGTAATGTCTCCTGTGATCACAACAGATCAATTTGCCATTCATCACCAAAAGTGATTCCCTTTTTCTACTTGCACTGAGACCTGTTATGCAAGTATATAAAGTGCCACGTTTTCATTGCAACACCATATACCTTGTTTAGTTACTTACCAGAGGGGATGAAAAAAGAGAAGA